TGTGTTTACGAAGAAATGTAGTGTATCAGCTCACGTGTAATAGCTGCGATCAGCAATACAATGGTAGCACGACTGCGTAAAAGAACATCTCAACAATGAAAACTCCTCTGTGAAAAAACATATCTATTCCTGCCAGAACATAAAGGCATTGATGTCAAGATTATAATGAGCGAACACGACCCCGCTAATCTACGCCTTTATAAAGCATTTTACATTAGAAAGAACAAGCCTACACTCATTTCCCGAGAAGAATGTAGTAAATTCGCAGACCTTCTATTTTAGTATTTCTTTCAGAGACCATTCTCAAGCCCTGTTAGAAGTCCTTTGTCTACAGACATTCCATCACTAGAGCTTTGTATTCCATCCACAGTTTATTTCTATAGCTTTCATACATACGTCAAATCTTTTACACATTTCACCCAACACCTTCTTTGCATATATATATAGCGCGCACGAAATATTTTCTCATCCCTGATGATGCCGTTGATCGGCGAAAGCTTGGATTTTAGATTTTACTTTTTAAACAGCAGTTTAAGGTCTGCCAATGCATGATTCTTTAACGCAAAATAAGCTAGTAACCAGGAAGTACCTTGAACTTATTCTTAGTGAGTGGCTGGCCAGGCTCAGGAACAACTTCAATAATGTCAAATATCAAAATCTGTAAGCAAATGCAATAAAGTTATTTTTGAATGAAAAAGTTACTCGCTCACTACTATTATCTACAATAACTGGTCCTTCCACTACCCAATGGCCAGTTGGCAAAATGGCGCAAGTTAGTGTACGGTCGGAGTAGCCAGAGTTTGCAGCAGAGGGATGCAGGAAAAAAATATACTGGAAAACATTTGCATGAGAGAGGTAAACCTTGACTTTACCAATCCAAGTGCAGAAAATGTTTGGACAGACTGGACAAACTAAACTTATTGATGGCAGCGAGACTACGAAGCCAGATTTACGAGACAGAGATGAAGGAAATTCGATACTTGAGGGGCAAACGAAGATCAGCTATTAGTCACCAAGACAACGGCACCAATAAAAATACAGCTACTCTAGCGGGTGCATGTGCGTAGAGTGAGGTACAAACTACAACACTACAACCACTCTACGCAGAAAAAAGCAACAAATGGTATAATACCCGTCCTCTGCAAGTGATATCTTCACCATACACATGTGTGGTACCAACACAGATGAATCCCTTGTGACCTGTGTGTGTCTCCTGACTTGAAAGCATTAAATTCTTACAAGTGGTCACGTGTTCCCAGTCCTCCATTTCAATTCTGAAGCATTAATACAATGTAAGACAAAGTAAAAAAGAATCATATGATGGCATATAATGGGAGAATCCTTCACACGAAATCAATCCTACATACAAGTAAAACTATGACCAATCAACAACTGTATCTATTCTTAGAGTTATACCTAGCATCTTGTGACGATGCTGCCCACAATAGTAAACTAAACACCGCACGGTTAGCTCAGTTGGTAACTGCCGGGCTGCTGAGCAGGAGGCCCTGAGTTTAAACCTTGGCCGGACCACCCACCAAGGTCTTCAAAACATGTCAAAAAACTGGTCAAATCATGCCGGCTGTAATTAAAACCCTTTTTCAGTTCAGACGATCGCGTCATTGAGCGGTAACATTTAGCCATTGATTCACTATATTTCCTCAATCCTTACCACATCAGTTGGGACATAAAACAACCCGTGATATTGCTCAAAACGTGTAGAGGATGTAGAACTCGTGTCATGGCCCTCCTGATCTGAGCCGTCATTGACCTGGCCATGGGGTGGGGTGGGTTGGGGTGAGATCAAACATGGGCTGAAGCGGCTGCAATGTGCGCCTTTACATGCCGACGTCCAGTCTCACCTCTCTGCTCCCTTCACTATTCAGACACTAGGGACCTTAAGATCCGAGGACGGCGACGGCAGAGAAAGCGTCGCTTAAAAGTGAATTCCCGTTCTTTCAATCTTTATCGCGATTTCTCCAAGTCACTAACTTTGTGAAATGTAGGCGAACCCTCCCAAAGTTGAATTTCTAAGAACCATATTCAAGTTCAGAAAGAGAGAGGAAGTTTCGTAGTCGCTTGTGTACTTCCTCTGTACATCGTGAAATTAGGCATTTTCACGTCGTAGTCGTGCAGTGACGGCAAAGAAATGTACAAAAAAGCATGATGCACGTGCAAAATTGTTGTTTTGCTAATTGAACCTATCGCTTTTGTGGCGTTCCCGTTGCCGTCGCCGTCGTCGGATCTTAAGGTCCCTACTGGCTACAGGACAGGGAAACCTCGCACGTGCTTTACTTTGTTCAGTTATAACAATACTTTTAATGGGCACGTAAGTTTAATTGCTTGATCTATATGTGTAGATTGTGCATCTAAGTTGTCCCGTAACTTTGCTGCAGACAAACTCACCGCGTGCTTGGTATGATTTCCCAACTGACGGGAGAAATAAGCTGCAAGCTGAACCGATCAATGATTGGATACACAAATCTCTCATCTACAAATAAAATGTTTGTTAAGGACATTCATGGGGAAATCTTGTTACAGTGGAGCCCCGCTCTACGGACACCCGCTTTACACGGACAGTTTCGTTTGTCCCGACAAAAAGCTCACATATTTTCTCTAAAATTACCCCGCTTATACGGACACCGGTCAATACGGACAACGGACATTTTTCTGTGTCCCGAGTCACAAACTCTCATATATTGTCAACCCCGCTTTATGGACAATGGTTATCTGCACACTGTCTATTTTCATTGTCACAACGGTTATATAATCACTCAAGTAAGCAATTCCTCCCAAAATGGTGGTGGTGGTGGCGGGGGGGCATTGAGTTCATTCTGGAGGTAATGATGTCTGAAAGACCCTGCTAATTGTCCGATACTTAACTTTCATTGTTCGAAAATAAAATTAAAGGACAACTTGCAAAAACGTTGAAAGAAAATTTGTCTTTTCCCACTTTACACTGGTGCTTGTTAAAAGAATTTCAACATTTTACATGAAAACGCTCCATGGATTCTTACAGCCGGGAATAAAATCTGTGTAACAGGGCATTAAATGACGAAAAATAGACAGTCCGTAGTACTCCTATTTATACCTGGATGATGAACAGAAACAGCTTCGCTCAAGTATAATCTTCCAAAAGACTACTTGAGATTATGACACAGCTTTGATACAAAATACCTTCAACAATGCATTGGCGGTACAACTTTACAGAAGTTACTTCTAACCTCTCTTCCTCCATATTCAAAGTTGATTCTAGAAGGATTCGTAGTCAGGGCATTCTTCATAAAACAGAAACTACATTTATTCAGGCAGGAGGACCTCAAATTCTGCTGATTCTGGATTTCTGTGCACATGGAAAGCCGGTCTCCATAGCGGTATTGTCCAAGATTGCATGTTCAAATCGTCTTTACTTGTTGGGGCAGGTTTTAATAACTTAAGATTTTAGAATGGCCTTATGGCTACGTTTCAGATTAACTATACCTTAAATGAAGATTATGATTTCACTTTAAAAAATTGTATTACCCTTGTCTTAATAAGGAACTCAAAAATACAGAATACCTCGATCAATGCCCTCTGGTTCATGATCTTCAGAATTCAACTTGACAATCTTTTTTGTCTGCTCTGATAAGCTTGTAACAACTGCGTACGTCTGGAAAAAAGATATAGCCTCAAAGTTAATGAGTTAGCCGATCACTTCTGTAAACACTCTGCTCGTTTGGAACATTAAACACTCGATTTTATGAAACTCCCAGATTCCCTTCCATTTCCTTTGATCAGACTCTATAATCCTACCACAATTTTTCGAACCCTCGATTTTTCGAAACTCCCGATATTTCAAACTAATTCTGCTTCCTTTCCCGAAAATTTACATTCAGTTTCTCGAACTTTGACAATTCAGGAACCAACAAAAACCGGTTTTAGCCACCCGTACTACTGGAACAGCATTCAACAAGTTGCAGGGAGGCGTTTTCAGGCAGTTCAGTTTATTACAAAGCGAGTGAAAAATCTGTCATTTACGTCTCAAAGAAGCTACATCGCCCTTTTTACCCATTATCAAGAGTCTCTTCAAGCATCCTAGAGAAGAGTTTCCGGTTGAAAAGAAGCAAGAGCTAAGCAACCGTTATCGTAGCGAAGTAAACTACTAATGTTTTGTTTTTTCCACTGTGGGCCTCTTTTACAGTAAATGGAAGGAAATGCTGTGTAAAGTCCCCCCAAATTTTACACATACCTTATCAATATAGTAATGGTTTTATTTGCTTAGTTGGTTAAATCTTTTAATTTTCAGTACATGTTAGGTTTTTTTTAAAAAGAATAAAGATGCTACGTTCAATACACTGACTCGCAAGAGTGCTATACTGCCTTCGTTTCCTGTGGCCTTCTTAGTTATTATAAAACAATACCGGGGTAAAATAGGTGTGATTCAATGCCGCTTTCGCGATTCCACTGTATTACTCAAGTGACATTGTTTAGCAACTCTCTTAACGATGCAGATTAACTCTGTTTATATTATGTACCTTGCTTTCTCTGTTATAAGCAACAAAATGAGGTGTACATCTAAGAGGAACCTTCCGCACAGGCCAAGGTGCATCATAACTTAGATGCGTTGGAAGAACTGAAATTCGCAATTCTCCCTGAGAAGGAAACAACATTATATACCGACAATTATGAATAAGGTATTGTTGTTAAAGCTAAAAAAGCACACACAAAGCAGAAAAACAATCAAAAAGTCCATTATAACATTTTGCCAGACTGGAAGAACAAAGATGAAATGGACTTGTCTTGTTTACTGCATTTACAAGGAATAATTAAAAAGTATTCGAAGTATCTCTTTCGGTTGTAAGTTTATTATAATTTAAAATTTAGAGAAATATCTTCATTTCCGGGTTTGGAAAAAAGCGCTTGTACGGTCTTGCAGATCGTGGTATTTGATCATCTTCAGATGGGTAACATATCAGTAGCACTACCTTAAACACAACTAATATGTATTAAATTAAATTAAGACAATGCACCTTCTTGTTGAAGTATAGAAACCCTTTAGGGCAGTTGACATTGTGAAAAGGAGCAAAGCAGGTAACAGCGCCATCAATATTCATGGGATGAGCTCGCAGTGCCCCTCTGCTGGTAACAAACAGCCAGTGAGGGTATGATCCACATACAAATACCTATAGTAACAACATTCAATACTTCAGTCCTAAAGAGGAGAGTAATTGTTCAAATGCAAAGTTCTTGAGATGGAAAATTGTGAGTTACTTACTCCTGAATATGATGAAATATCACTGAAAACACGCAAACTTGCAACTCTTGGTTTACTTCCTGCAAAGGCAATAAAAAAAGAAATTATACAACCATTACTCCTACTCCAGTTATATTTTGTTATATTTTACCAGCAGCCAACATGGGTCGGGTGTCCTTTCTTTGTGAAACTCATGAACAACTTACAAGTGAGGGTTTCATAATTTTGCCAGTAAGTGTTATTAACATTGCTTTTGGTCCTTGTTAGCTTTTGAAATTCTTTAAACTTTTCTCGCTTAAATAATTAAAAAATTAATAGGGTAAATAAACTCATTAACCGTCTAAGTACTGGTGATATTTTTCCTACTTTGATTTGTAAGTTGGCTGACACATTTGGTTATGTACTGGTACGTTAAAAAGAAACATAATGATTGTTACCCTGACTGACATCATTCTGCTTTACTTTTTGCTGCTTTGATTTCTTGTCTCGAATGAGCAAATTGTGCTGCAACTAAACAAAACATCAAAAGTACAAGAAACTGTGGAACACTTTTAACTGTGTGAATGTCAAAGTTTCCAAAATACGCGTTGAAAGAGGAGGGAAACCAGACGTTTTGAGGGTGCTCCCTCTTCTTCAATCGATTAAAAGCAACTTTTAAACTACTCTGCTGTAGAAGATGGAGCATTCTTGAAATGTCTGGCTTTCCTCCTTTTTCAATGCATATTTAAACAAAACATCTTCTGCGTTTAACTTTTAGATTTATGGAGCGTTCAGGGGCCGGTTGCTCGAAGCCTGGTTAGCGCTAACCGTTGGTTAAGAGGTGTCAAAATGTATAGCTTTCCATGGTATTTAACGCTGGTTAGCACTAACCATGCTTCGAGCAACCCGGGCCAGAATAATAAATGGCTTATTTGCTTGTATTCAAACATTCTCCCCCAAAAAGATACTTTGCCTCAGGTTGCTCTCTAGCTTTGTGTGAATGTGGTTCATGTTAAGCGTGGGTAACACATAACTGTAGTCAAATCCAGAAGAGGGCAGAAATGCTCATAGTTGCTTCATACTCTTCATGCTACATTCAACAGAAGACAAAAGCAATTTTCCGCTTTGAGCAATATTAAAGTTCTGTGATGTCTTTATAAACTGAGTGACAGTTATTTGTTATGGTCATTTGTGACATGCGCTTCACTTATATGCAGTCAAAATGACATTTGATGGCAACTTAGAAAGCCAAAACAACGTGTCTACTTTAACCTGCACGCCATGTCGAGAACTCCCTAAGTACTGTTCTGCCTAAAGCTTGTCTTTTGATTTATGCTATATAACTCTGTAGACTGGGAAAGAAGACTATTTGTTCATGGAAACTCATGCATCAATAGAAATATCAAATCCTTTTCTAGTTTTTGATCAAGATGCCAACTCAACAGAGACAGATGCCTATGTACAGAGATAAGTTTACACACCTTTCTGAATCTAAGATTCAAATGGGCCTCAAGGGAGGCTTCCGTGAATGTGAAAGCTTCATACACCAAAAGATCTTGTTCCACAACTGCAATTAACATGGGCCTTTTGTTTTTATGTCCCATGCCAGTTAATAAGACTTCCTTCACAGGCAGGCTATCCTCTGTAACGACACCCCCTGTCATACTATGCAAAGATAAACGTACATATTTTCCATTAAATGAAAATAACTAAATTATTTTCCTGCCTGGTCAGAGTATGTAAGACTGTTCCTCACCCTAAATTCGCACCAAACGTTTAGACATGGGGTCAGTCAAATATTCCTCAAATGCTCTCAATTAATTTTTAAATCCAAGTTATATGTTATTGAATTTACTTTAAAGTTAAACAAGTGAAAGATGTTAAATGCTATTTCCTTTAAAAGAAGACAACAAAAAATGTAAATATGTCCGGAATCTATTTTCTCACCCTCTTCACTGTATGGACCTGCTTACAGAACATCAATTTTTATTTTTATTTCAATTGCAGAGGCTAGCCAATCCAGTTTGTTGCTTTTTGCTAAATGTGACTTTACCTTACGATATGTGAAAAGGGACGTCAATTGTGCAGCAACATTGCCAGATTATTGAACAATTAACCGAGAACACCTTGGGACGAGGATGAGTTGTTTTGGTAGTGAGTACATAATGGCGGAACATTTCACTCGTTTCACAAGGAAGAAATGGGCGAACTATTGGCTAAAAACACAGCAAGAACAACAAGAGGACAACTCGACAGACGACATCTGCTGTTTGGAGAATGTTTGCAGTACTGAACAAGCCCTTATCTCCTAAACTTCCTGATAAACAGGCAATTGAAGATGAACTTGACATCGATGGAGGTAAGCCCGTTTTAGCTTGTTTTTAAACTAGGAATTATTTTGAATGAATAATAAAACAATTATTGAATTCGGCTTTCGCATCATCTCAAGAACTATGGAGATCTCGGAGGGTGTTCTCCGCCAAGGCCTATATAACACCCTCCTCGATCTCCATAATTCTTCAGATGGTTCTCAGCCTCATCCAATACTTGTTAATTATATATTAATAATCACACTGCCAAATACCTTGCAGCAGATGCTGAACCACTGTCAACTAGCACCCGTGGAGCCATATTGAAGTTCTTTACCAAGAAAACTAATTTGAAGTCAGGCAATGTGTATATCTCCATGACACCATTGTCACGACAAGCTACACACCACCATGTTGGCTTTACCAACTCTTCACTGGATTCCTCCAAACTGGAAGAGAAAATGGTAATAATATTATAACAGTAGTTAAAGCTAGAATTTAATCTTTTTTTGCTGCCAAAAAGCCCGCGCTTTTCGTTACTAGTGGGCTATAATGTGTAGCCTAGTAGTAGCTCAGCCAATCAAGACGCAGCATTAATAATAGACCACTAGCTGGATTTTACTAAATATATATATATATAGAAGATATTACACGGTGGCGCGAAGATATGAATTTTATTTTCGAGTGGCAAAACAGTATTTTACGAACGAGCGCAGCGAGTTAGTAAAATATTGTTTTTGCTACGAGAAAATAAAATTCATATCTTCAAGCCGCCGTGTAATGTTCTTTTTATTATATAGACAAAACGACATCGATAAGACAATAGATTTATATTCGCCAAAAGGTAATTGTCACGGCTCAAATTTACAGTACAGCAATATGAGACATTGGTTACAATAATCTTGAGAAACAGCACTGAGCTGAATAGGGCCCTACAATGACAAAATATAAGCAAAGCTTTGAAAAGTATGTAAGTAAAATTCAAAAGACGCAAGACGCCTACAAATTTCGAAGAGAAATTACCGAAATTACGTCATCGATAAACTCACGTGTGAGGTTATGGAAAATAAACCACTCGGGTCCCGGATGTAGTTTTATGAATTTACGAGTGGTATATTTTCCAGTAAAACACTCGTGTCTCTATATGACATTTCCCTATATTCGACCTGCAGGAAAAAGATTTAATACAGGTAGTTTACATGTCAGTATTTGTTTGGAGGCTGTGCTTTGACCCATTGATTTGCATGGAACAGTATATTGAAAATTTGGTTAGTAAAATAATAGTGGATATTGGGAAGTATCAAACTCTAGCATCTTGGAGTACACAGTAGTTGTTTTTTCACCCCAGTCTAGCAAATTTCCAAAGGGGAGGAGAGTCACTATCAATTCAATTTTAAACTACCTGATATTTCTAGTTTTGTAAGATTATCTTAGTTAAGTGTAAGCCTACCTGCCCATTTCATGCTTGACATGTTTTTCTTCAGCTGAAGTGAATGGTAGTGAAGATTCCCCATATAACAACTCATCCTCGTCATCAATGGACATTCTTCAACAATAAAATAATCTTATTTACGATATATAACAATTCAATATATGACTGAGCTGTTGTGGGTCCCTAAAGTGATTGTTTACCCCCAAAGTTGTTTTCCTGACATGTGGCCCTTATGAACTTCATACGCCTGTGACATTTTCCATCACATAGATTACTTTGACAATCAATAATGGCAGACTACCATGTAATATATAGATTTAGCCAGGGCTAAAAGCGAGGCTCCCATTAATAAATTTATAATTTAAATTAAACAATAAACTTGTATTCGAATTCCACAATTCAGTTAACTTTAGAGCACATTTGTGTCACTTTTGAGGGAAAGGCGACAAAGGCGGAAAAATAATTTGCAAACAGCCCAAGAGTGAACCAAATCTTACATCGAGTTGATAGCCTCATATGTACACTCAAAAACTGGTAATCATCTTCGATCACATTTAAGTGCCATAATGGCACTTGATCACCGTAGATTAATTAGTGGGAAAAAAATCAGGCCAACTTTTTTGCGTTCGACAAGTTTACTTTGCAAAATCTTGTCAACAAATCTGGGTGCGTGTAAACAAACTGTTTTTATCATACCGGCAGACCTCGGACAGAAAGCAGTATTTCACGATACAAATTGCACTCATTCAATATTCATAAACTGTTAAAAAAATTTCCAAAATCACCTATACGGCCATCCGGTTCTCACTTTTGTAGTGCGAGCTGTGGCGAGTGTTTGAATGAACATTAACAGAGTTACGCTCCAACATTATAAAGAACTTATTTTGTTTATTTTTTATGGTTTAACGCGCGGCATTTTGAGTACTCCTGCAAACAATGTTCACTGAACGACTGAAAGCAATCGACACAGCGAATAAAATTACAAGAGAGACTACTAACAATCAAAAAAAGAAATATAATTCGGTGAAACATATACAGAGACAACAATTTTCATTCATGAATACAAGTATTAAAGTATCCCTAAAAATCCTGAGTCTTCAAGCTTCAAGCTTAAGTTTATGTTTTAAGCCGGCTTCCCGGTGGTTGCTTTTTTCAAAGACGAACTCGAGGCAAGAAAATCGATCAAAGCTTTCTTTTCCGGCCAGAATTATAACTAAATATTCTTTGGAAAGTTTTCTTTCTATTTGCGGTGAGAAACTGTCTAAAGGCTTTTTAAAATTCTGTAAGCTTGTATCAAACCTGATACTCGGTCAGATCATTGTCTCAAATCTTACAAACGTGCATAAACTAAATGCCCGCATAAACTCTGCCTGAATTCATTAAATTAGATTACAATGGCTTACCATTCGAGATGCAGCTCCTGAAAGGTATCAAGAAAAGCCAGTATCGCATCAGACTTTGCAATCCTCTTACCCATCAAGCAAGGTGAAAACGAAAACGATGCCATCCGAAATCGGATTTCCGACTCTGACAAGCGACGTATTCCTCAACGCCTAAACAAACTAGCCATGAATAACAAAAAGACTCCTGATAGTGACATTTTCCAAAACTCACATTCAGATTCAAAGTAAACAAGATTCAAGATGCTTTTTTCCGCATGACAATCAATAATGACAGACCATACCAACAGCTGTATTTTTAATTGTATAAACAAACACAAAAAAAATTGAACAATTGAAAACCCACGGATAACTTCAAAAAAATACTTGACCTCGAAACACCTGAGGATAACGATGATGAAAACTGATTGAGTTATGTTTTGAACATTGTTCGCGATCTAGTAAAACAATTAACTGGTCACTCAATATGAGCCATATTGTGAATGTCAAAAGATAGTCTCCCCTACCCCACCCGCAATCTGTAGACGCGTACGTACGCTAAGCTGTCTTCACCAAACGAAAAGAGGTACCATCCATGGGTATTCCACCAAAAAGACTCAAAAGACGCCGCTCCCCCACATATCCCTTCCACCAATCATCCCCAATAACAAATGGCAATCAACGCTAACATAATTAATGAGAATAAGGTACATAAAACAGTGACTGTGTTTGCTTTATAATACTTCCCAAGACATTTGGTTACTCTTTGGATGAGGTGTCATTATATTACTCTGGACAAACCTCGCAAAATTAGTAAATATGATTACCCACAGCGAAAGATCGTCATTAACTGACAATTAAATAAAACAATTAGTTTTTCATTCATTAGGTTTCATGTTACAAACGTTTTTAACTGACCTCACCCCTTCTCTCAATCTACCCTCTTCCTCCCCAAACAAACACACAAACTACTGTGACCAATTCCTCTTCCAATGCTGTACCTTATAACTACGTCTATTATATGTTTCAGCTATAATGGTGCTGTGTGCTGTCTTAAACACATGTCAGAAAGTATTGATTTTGGTTAAAGACTGTGCAGTCCTTTTAAAACAAGTTACTTACACTTTAGGAGTAGTGGGTGTGGTAACCTGTGGCTGGGTTTCATAGTTGTAGTGCTGGATCTTCTCTGTTGTAAAGATGCCACTTACATCTCTGTATGCACAGCAGGCACACACTTTACCACCCTAGCAACAACAAATGCATCAACAATCCTACTTAGCAGCCAATCGGCTAGAATTCTTTGAATAATTCCTAACAAAGTTCGCACAAGTAAATCAGCTAATATTCTAGCCAAGTCCTTTAAGTTATCGCTCACTGTGCCAGTACAACTGCTTCTTGACACGAGTCTTGAAACTTAAATTTTCTAGTAAGAATAAACAGGGAGTAACATAATTATAAAGTTTTTTATCACTTTGTTTACAAGGGATACTGATTGAATATTTTGGCACCATAACAGTCATTTTTTTAAATGATACTGGGTGCCAATTGATTACTCACCTGATTGATTGGTGGCCTGGAAATTTTCACTTTTGGTTCTGAACCCTCTAATGTAAACTCTAGCAGTATAAGTGAGCCATCTGTAGTCATCATCACAGCATAAGGATCACACAAAGAACACCAAACAATAGATGACAAACCAGCATCCAGAGGGATGTGATAGAGCTGAGTCACTGAAATGAAGTTTAAATAAAAGATAGGGCAAGGAACAGTGTATATGAAAACAGTCAGTTGAAAAGCGTTTTCTAACCATTGAATTATTACAAAAAAAAATGTTAAGCGTAGTGAATAAACGAGGGAGATGTTAAGATTGGGAAAAGACGTTTCAATCCATGACTTCTCAACATACCACTTGAGTGCTCTAATTACTATAAAGAAACTTTACTCATGGTCAGCTAGCATGCAATTTGCTTGCTTCATATGCGTCACACAACCTACAAACTGACACATCTCTTTCCAGTACAATGTAGATGATTCATTGGTTTTGACTGGACTAATAATAACTCTAGACAGTCATTTAACTGGTAGATGGTGCTACCTGCAATAGAGAAAACACGCCAAATTATGGATAAAAGTTAGGGATAACATTCTACAAACAACCTGCTTCTCACCTCCTTCTAATAACCTGACTCCTTGGGGGGTTACCTAAAAAGGATAAATGAATGGAAGAAAAATAATGACATGAAATTTAAAAGGACATGAAAATTAAAATCTTCTATAGAGCCTATGCTTAACAAAGCAAACCTGCAAAATATATTTTCCATTGCCAAGATTTCCAGCAAATACAGTTGGGTACTGTGATGTGAATCCTGAATGATCAAGCTCCATAATCTCTTGTTCTGTTTTCAAAACCTAACACAAAAAATATATTATATATCAATATACTCCATGATAATTAAAACATCGCATTTTTCAAACTTGCTGTTTAATTAGAAAGAGTTAATAATTGCAATATCACTAGAGGGAGCAGAAAGAAAAATTTTAAGTGTCCAACTGGATTCAAACCTATAACCTCTTAAAAACAGGGTGCGTGTGTGTGTGTGGGGGGGTCTATCCACTGAGCTTTGGAGGTTAAAATACTCTATATTTTATCATAATAGTCAGTCACATGCTCAATATGCACAAAGCACTGCCTGTATTACGAACAAATCCTCAAGGACTTGGCTGTCTTAAGAATCATACTGGTGAGGGAAATCCCTAAACACACACGGCTGGTCGGGGTGTTAAGCTGTTATTGCGGTTGTGTTAAGGAGAGAGACACCCTGGTGAAAGAGCTCTTCTTCTCAAATGCTGGAGATGGAGCTGATAATTGATTACAATGTTAGAAAGACAATTTATTATACATTCTAGGGGATGTTTTCGTGACCCAAGTATGATGGGCTGGGTAAGAGTCCATAGCATACCCTCAAACCAACTAGGCCATCAGTGAAAAATGATGTCTGCAAATAAGGAGGGAATAGAAAGGCTACGTGGAAGACTGGGACAGTAAAAAACCTTTTGGTTTTGCTCAACACTAGAACATTCTACGAGTGTCATTATTGCAGCAATGTGAGGAGCAAATGTGAAATTAATATCTTTCCATAAAATCATTAAGCAACAGAAAAAAGGAGAATGACAAAAAAGCATTATGTTTGCTCAACGACCTGTGCCTGTTTACATACCATGCTGGAATCCTCTCTGCTCAGCAACAAAAAAGAATGATGGCCACTTCCACTCTTAGCAAGCACAAAATAAAAAATTAAAAAGTAATTACTTTGTTTGCCCCTTATTGCTGTACAACAAATCAAGTGAGTTGAGCAGCAGTATATAATCCAGAAAGGCAGAAAAAATCGCAAATCGCATTTTTTTTTAAATACAATCTGGATCGATCTGCTGAAGATGATGCCACTTGAGAGGGGAAGGAACAGGAAAACAACCTGAAAATTTTCAGGATTGACTAGGAATCAAACCATGACCTTGGTGGCAACCAAACACAATGCTCTATCCATTGAGATAAAGAAGCCAACTGGAGAGCAGGCCATTGTGAGTATGTAATATTCCTGATAGTGGAAATAACATGAATTGAAATATATGAAATGAATAGAGCATGGTGTTCAGTCATTCAAAAGTCAGGGTTTGAATCCCAGTCAAGCCTGAATTTCTTCAGGTTCTTTTTCAATCACTTCCTTCAATTGCGAAGATCATGTTCACTTTCACAAACTACTTAATATTTTAACCAGAAAGCATTGGTAATAAACAACATAGACAAGTCTTTTATTAGTTTTTTAAAGACAGCACCTTGTGGCGGACAGAGTGCAGCGGAGCACCATGGGTAAGAAAATTTATCATCCACTTATTTTCGATTGCTTTTCAAACTTTTTATTTACTTTTTGAAGTAGAGTAGAGCCCCGAGAACTCGAACTCGAATAACTTGAATTCCCTGCTAACTCAAACTAAATTTCCTTTCCCTTGATCAAAAGGTCAACGAAATTTACCCCGATTACACGAATTCTGGCTCTTTCATCCCCACTCAGATGCCATCCCATTAGCCCAGCCCTTCTTGTTGTAAAAGGGTAAAACACAAAAAACTAACACTGGTCAACACTAAAGCTTGATTTTAATTGGTGAAACGAACAGATCATACTTAATCATAAAAATGACTAATCATGTCCCTGTTTCTGAAATTTAACTTGCTCTGTACCATACACTGAAGTGCTGAAGAATCAGTTACTATCAATTTGTTACATAGGAAATTGACTTTTCTCTTTGCTGCGATAAATCAAACCCTTGCTAACTCAATTTGTCTCGCAATTTCCTTCAGTGTTCAAGTTACCAGGGTTCTACTATATCAGAGAATGAGAAATTAAACAATGACAAATAGCCCACCACTGGGCAAAGCTTTCTCATGGTCAGAACTTAGAACCTGAAAAATACCCCAGGGGGAGGGAAGAGATGGGAGATGGGCATGTTGGAAATGACTCAATGTAATAAATGCCATACCCTTACTAAGAAAATGATTGCTTCATATAATTATACTGATGCCTCCCAAGCAATCACTATATTAAAGATAATCTAGTATTAAAACTATGTTTTCAAGAAATACTTCAGACAATTTCTTCTAACCTGGTCACCCGACAAGACAGTCCACATGTCCACACATCCTGGTAGCTCAAATGTCGTCACAACCTGTGGTCTCACACTTCTCTAAGAAAACAAAACCCAGGTAAAAATGACAATTCAGGAATTTCAAAATAATTCATAAGCTTTGGCAAGATGAACCAATTTACATAACAACCTCCTCAGAAAATTAATAAAAATTAATAAAAGCTATGCACTTGAAGCAAGAACTAAGGGTTTAGGTGTAAGTAAGAGCACAAAAAGTTATTATACATCACGCAGATAATCTTGTACTTACTATAAGGGTTATGAGATTCACTAAGAATCTTGAAGGACCACATAAACATAAAACTAATAATCGGGCATTACAGTTCAAGCAAGTTTATGCCATGCCTTTTCACTTAATATAACTATCAGTTACCGAGTTAATACTTATTAATTACCAATCTTACACAAGAAAAAATGTTGGCAGGTAGCAGTATATTTTAAGTACATTAATTTCCACTGTGGCAAAATTTTGATGTGCATACACAAATAAATTTTACAAGCACAAACAAAATAAAGGCAATTTATGAAAGATTACGCATTCAGCATAACAAAACTTTATACAATGAATGTACTAATCACTATCTTCTCATTGGCTAAGAGCCAACAGTAAGTTTTGGAAACCAGTGCAATCTTCAGATTACCCAATAGTTAGTTATTTGTGAGCAAATAGCTGGCTAATTTGTTGGTTGCATCCACTATGCATAACTGTCAGGAGAAACATCAAACTGTGTTCTACGAGACAGTGTGTTTGTAATTATTTTCTCATGCAATAAGAGTTATTAGCCTTAGCTTTATGTTGACCTTGATTATTCTGGATATCGCAAAAACCTCATCCAATGATTGCTGCAAGTTGACCCTGCTCAACTTTTACATTTATGTGTGGCATTTTAATTTTATGTGCCTTGTGTGAATGGAAGCCAGGATGTATAGCCAAGAAAATGGAAGATTTAACAGATCTCATGGACTAATGGTGGGTGACCAGAGAAACTTGCAATCCTACTCTCCAAGTTGCTATTGCACATGGGCAGCATATATGTTGGGTTTCCACTAAGAATGAATGAAATACATCATAGAGCACAATCTGTGGGGATTTGGACCATCTATCACTCCTAATCTGATCACAGTGCTGGGGGAAGAGCATTTTGACCTTCAATCAGCACCCTAAACAGCTTGCATGGATCTGGCAGCCTGAACTTGCTACCCTTTGGTAACAACCAGTTAGTAGCTATACTTCATCTGATGTACTCCAAATACATTTTTAAGTAGCTATACTTCATCTGATGCACTCCATATACCATGATTAAAAAATTATTGTAAATTAAAGTGAACAGCAGAAAAATAATTGACAACTGATCACATACCTGAAGAACTGACAATGCTCCATTCTTGCCATATCCAGAGCAAGATACAAGTTCTAAATCCCATTCCTTGCCACCAGCAAACTACATATTAATTTATTATAATAATCATAAATATTATTGTTTTTGCAAATAACACCATGCTATTTAAATATTCATTGTCTTGTTCAAAAAATGATGACAAGAACATGAGAGCAACAACAAGGTCTATTTCCCCAGCCAATCAAGATCAAATTCAATAACATCAATAGAAAACGATCTATGAAACCCTACTATAACATTACAATTTAAGAAAGTTTTACAATACAATAGTTATGCCAATTGCCAAACAGTGTCCCCCAAATTAACGCCAAATGTGTGTAGATGTCCTTTCTTTGGTTACTCTATGTTTTCTTTACTGTCTAGGCGTTTAGTTATTTTCAACGGAACAGCGACATTAATACAACAAAAAAATTAAATCTATTTTGTGGACAAGTTGAACTTCTCTAAAAGGACATTCAATCTTTATTTCACATATTGAACCATACGAAGCCAGTCACGTGATACAGCTGACTGCTGCTGTCTATTGAAGAATATAATGATCGATACTAAGATGTCTACTTAATGATGATTTGTAAGCCAATGTTATATTGCAGCAAGACTTAAGATACTGATAAGCTAAAATTTACATTAGTCAATTTTCTGGACCAAAGTGAAAAACAAAATGTCACAAAATTACGAAATGGTGGATGTAACATACCTCTTCCTACAGACAGTGATGAATTATGTTGTGCAAAAAGAAAAAGGCAAAATCAACAGTTAAAAATTATTTGTGTCAAAGAAAAAAAGAAAGGGAACAGTTCATACACACATTTTTTAAACAATAGTAATTATTCTAAGAAGTAAAGTCACCTCTCTCAAATACGGACACCTTTAGGACCTGCACCATGGGTCTCTCTTAGGGAGATGTCTGTCTTATACAGAGTCAACTAAAAGGAGTAAACAAAGGCAGGGACCAACTCCAGGTGTCCTTTCTAGCTAGGTGTCTGTTTTATAGAGGTGTCCATTACGAGAGAGTTGACTGTATTTTAAAATACGACATTGATATGCATGATAAAAATTATTATTATTCTGACACAATGGTATTGGGAAATGCCGTGACTATAATAAATTAGCCCAAGGGGTCCTAAGAGTGCACAAAATGGATCACAAAATGGATGTAAACTTACATACACATATGTACATTTCCTTGTAATACAGGGTGTTTCAAAAGTTTGTCCTTATTGTAAATTGTATTTTTCACAAAGCATTTAATGCTTCTTCAGCAAAGGTACAACATTTTTCTAAATAACCGTTCAAAGCAATTCCAAATTAAAATTTGAAGAAAATAGATAGATAGATAGATAGATAGATAGATAGATGCTTTATTGTCTTAATACCTTGCAGCTATAGGCTGAATTACGAAAGACATTACAATAAAGACATTACAATAAAAAAAAAAAGTATATAAAATATAACAATAAAAAGGTAAAAAGTATAAAATTGCTACTATAACTAACTACTACTAAGCGCAGAAAACGTGACTAAAAATGAAAGATTTTTTGCATCGATTGGTCTTGCACAAAGGTAAGGCAAAGTTCCGATTCCTCCTTAGAAAGTAATTTGCTGGATTCTTGGAAGGAAGAAGTTTGTGAAGAGTGTGCCCGGGGTCACCCACTTCACTTCATTTTTTCATGTATGCGAGTTTTTCCCCCGCCATATTTTTCCTGCCCATTTTGTAGGTTTTCTATTTTCGTATTTTTGCCGTGATCTTTTGGTTTCTCCACTCTTTCACGAAAATGAAAGCATACACTGTTTGTGCTACAGCTCAGGCATCTATTTTTTAAGGTATTGTGGCCATTTAGTCAGAGAAATTGCCAAATTGTTGAAGACGTCTGAACGACAAGTGAACAGTTGGTCAAAAGTAAAGACATTAAAAGACAAACAAAGGAAACTCCAAGGAGTAGATGACCGTTTTTTTACAAACTGAGTGAGAAATGTTATCAAAAAAGTTGTAAGTATGTGCGTAATAATTCAACAAGACTGAAAGGTAAAAATACGTCAACTTAACAATATCAAAGTTTCGAGCACAATGGTAGGGAGATATGTGACCGTCAAAGGTTGGAAAGTCCTGAAGAGAAAAACGGTGGTGCACATCACTACTAAACAAAAACCCATAAAAATCTTGTAAATTTATTCATGGAAAATTCACAAGATCTTCATGCCTTATTCACCAGATTTTCATGGCCAAAACTAAGGGTATTTTCATGGGTTCAACCTATAAAAGTACCATTAAAAAGCCATGAAAATACTTTGAAAAATTCACAATTAATGACCCATGAAATAGTTTAGATTATAAGAAATGAAGTGAATTTCACGGGTTAAAGTAATGGCTAAATGGTACCATGAAAATGGCATTAAAACCCCATTGAGAGTCAATCATTTCAAAAACTATGCTTATACCTTCATCTTTCTTGACGCGCTTTCTATCTTATTTAGAAGAGTATAGATGTACAATTTACAAAATTACCAAAACCAACTAGAGCATCAATCTGCTTTCATAATAAATTTATTCTACCCACTAAGGTGATAGATACAGTAAGTCATTTCAATCCTTTAGTTACAAGAGCACAGAAATCATAAAATCATATGAATTTAAAATAAATAGACTTAAGCTTCTTTTTCACTAATACTTTTGATTGACTGCCACGCTAAGATCATATAATATGATCATCATTTGTTTAAATGTTTCATAACTTTCATACTTATCACTGTTTAACCATTTAAACCCTAATATCAAAATTTGAATTCTCATTTACCACACTGCATGCAGGAATGGCATCAGAAGAATTTGCAAACTTTATACTAAAGGACGACCGGCTGGCAAACTCTCGTGATATGAACACTCTAGAGACCATCTGAATTATTGTTGATGAGACAACATAAGATGCAGGGGTGTCTACAAAACAAAGACCTAAGACCTAAGACCTAAGACCCAAAAACGAAGACTAGTTTTTTTTACAGGCCTATCAAACCAGAGCCAGTCAAGTCGGGTCAACGCTTTTCCTCAGACACCAACTGATGCGAAATGAATGGGGTCTTCGTTTTGTAGATTAAGCCGTGTCAAACTACAAAACGAAGACCCTCGCGTAAATGCTTTGTTCGTTGTCAACTGAAGCGAAATGAATGGGGTCTTCGTTTTGTAGATTAAACCGGGTCAAACTACAAAACGAAGACCCTCGCTTAAATGCTTTGTTCATTGTCAACTTTACGATGCTTTGCCTGGAAAAATGTGAATATAGACATGCTTTGGGAGCTCATACCTTCTAGACCTCACCGCTTAGAAAATGTAAGAAAACACAAAGAACGATATTCTAGTTGCTAATATTACAGTTAGTCAATGTTAATGAATAATGAATAACATACTTAGTTTTACAAAAGGTATTTTTTAATAATCAGTGAAATTTAAGCGAAGAAAAGTCGGAACGAACTTTTGAAACACCCTGTATATAAGACATCTATTATCTAAGAACATATGAGGAATTTACTCTAACTCAGGGCTGCAAAACTTTGAGTTAACTATATGTAAAAATTGGATATCAATTTTGTGGTATCCTTTGTTACTTCGCATACATTTTGTAGCTATACCACGCGATGATTACCATTAAAAACAGTTCAAACTATCATGGCAGTGTGAGCATAGCGTATATGACATTGGTGACAAGAAACAAAAATACATGCTGCAAGAAGAGATATATTGACAGAAGATCATGATAAACAAAAGCAGAGGAGACGAGGAGGCCAACGGCAAGGATACTAGTGAGATAAGAAGCGAAAAGAAAGAGGAAATTATCAAAAGCATTGGACATTGTAGACCTCACGTTAGAGAAAAAAAAAGCCAAACAAAGGAACTAATAGCACAAGCAACCCAACAGAAATTCAAGTCTCAACTTTCGGAAAATCACTTAGATTAAACTCATTCAAGATTCCAGAAAACCCCTTATTAGAAACTGGCCGAGCGTGGCAAGCATGGCGCGAAGACTTCAAAGAAGAAACAGAATATTTTGAAATCAAGGCCGTGAAAGACAAAGTAAGCGCCCTCAAAATCTATGGCGAGAAGAAATCTAGAAACCTTCCAGACACTGCTCCTGTTGAAGACAACAACGACTACTAGAAATTATTCCAGAAACTCAACAACCACTTCTTACTGAAGAAAAACAAACAGCATGCGAGATACATGTTTAGCAAACAATGACAAGAACTGGGAGAAAGTATCTTAAACTACACAGTGTGGCTACGAGAGAAGGGGAAAGATCGTGAATTCAGCCCCCAGACCTATGATAGGATCCTCAAACAACTCATACAAACAATCAAGGATAACCTTATCAAGAAAAGTGTACAGAAGAGGTGGATACTTGACCACTTCCTCGAAGAAGCCAGCCAAAAAGAAGACGTTAACCAGCAAGTAAAAGACATGAAAAAGGATTACAGAATCTCCAAAGTGAAACATCAATGGGGAAAATCTCAGAGAGATGCTAGAGGAGGTGCAAGACACCCAAGCTTACTAAAAAAGAAACCCCCACTGCAAGAAAACTGCAAGCAAGAACACAAGAAAGAAGAAAAAAGCCCCAAGAATAGTTGCCAATTCTGCGAAAACACAGGACTCCATTCCCCTGGACGCAGCTGGCCAGCTTATGGACAGCATTGCCTGAAGTGTGGTAAATATAATCATTATGCAACATGCTGTAGATCAGGATAGGACAAGAGACAGGAAAAAAGCAAAGAGCCACAAAGAGAGAAAGTCAAGAAAACAACCGCGGCAGACACTGATGCAGGCAACGAATCAGATTGCAAATACCTTAAGCAGACAGCACCACATGTCTTACATTGAGCCAAGAAAATGAGATCAGGTAGAACTCAGGACACTGCACTTATCAGAATGGGAGACAATGACATGCACTTAGAACCCGACAGTGGAGTAAGTGTGAATGTGATGGACGAGTACCAATTCAGAGCCCTAGAACACAGATCAAAGCAAATCAGAGAACTAGATCCAAGCAAAGACACATTGAAGACTCTCCAATCTGATCTGGTAGTTTAAGGTGAATTTCATACAACAATTCGAAACAAGAATAGAGGAGCAAAAAGCAAGTTCTTAGTGATCGAGGGAAAAATGGACTCTCCTCCACTCCTAAGCAAGAACACACTGATCAAAGTGGGAATGATTAAGATTGATCCCGATGAAACACTTAAAAGAAACCAATGAGCTTAGAATCAAGTCAGTGAAGCCGCCAGATGACATTGAAGCATTACTCAGCGAATATAATGATACATTTCAAGGGATAGGAGTACAGGCAAAGAGATAAAAGTCAATCTAGAGATGGATCCAGAAGCTATTCCAGTAGACCAGAAACCATGCCCAGGCTCATATCATCTGCAAAAACCCCTCAAAGAAATTGGCTTGAGGAGGGACTAAAGGAAAACATTGAAAAAGTCCCAGATGGAGAAACCACCACATGGTGCTCACCCTTAGTTGTGCAACCCAAACCCAAGTATGCTGATATCAAGAATGAAGAATTAGAATCTCAGATGATCAGTTTAAGCACTGATATGCGAATACCCAAGGAAGCCATGAAACAAAGTTGACGTGTCCGGTTACCAAGAGTTGAAGATTTTACCTACACTTGCATGAGTGCAAGACCTTCACAAAATTGGGTTTGGGACAAGGCTATCACCAATTGACACTAGACCCTGGCACAAGACAGGTAGGTAGCAACATTGAGCACACCCTGGGGAAATTACAGACCAAAGAGACATGTATTTGGAGCTAAATCTTCACAAAATGTTTTTGGTGAAGCAATGTTTAGAGCCTTCAGAGACATACCCCACTGCCTGAACCAAAGAGACGACATACTCCTCGGAGGAAGAGATGTAGCAGAACACAAAGAGGTACTGAAGACTGTCCTTCAGCAAGCAAGAGATCATGCAGTAACATTTAACAAAGAGAAACGCCAATTCGGGAAAGGACAAATTGAGTAATTTGGACATGTCTTCACCAAGGATGGACTAAAACCATCACCAGACAAAGAGAAAGCAAGCAAGGAATACAGCCCTCCAGAAAACAAAGAAGCCGTCAGGAGTTTCTTGGAATGGCAGGCTCCCTGGACAACTACATCAGCAACTATGCGGCCATAACAGCACCACTTTATCAGCTAACCCAGAAAGACACAAAATTCAAATGGGAGAAAAAAGAAGAAAAAGCATTCAAGAAGATACAAGAGAGCATCTCAAACGAAAAGACAATGGCATTTTTTTACTCATCCAGACCTATAATCCTGCGCACAGAAGCAAGCTACAACCAAGGCTTATCAGCAGACCTACTGCAAAAGACTGACAAGGGTATACAGCCAGTGCATTTCATCAGTCGCAAAATGACAGAAAACAAGAAAAGATATGGTCAAACCGATGCACTAGCCATCAAGTGGGAAAAGAACGATTGCGAGTTTACCTACTTGGAGCCCCAAGATTTCGCATGGTCACAGCACACAAACCACTGTTACCCTTATTCAATAAAGTGAAAGCCACGATGCCACCCAGAATTGAAAAGTAGGTTATGGAAACGCAGGATGTTGACTATAAGCTGGTGTAGGAGCATGGGAAAGACAAAGCAGACCCCGAAGACGAACTATCCAGGCACCCACTACATGAAACAAGAGATGACAGCACAGAACATGCTGTAGTCATCACCAGGATTAGAGAAGAAACCCTGAAAGAGGAAGTGATACAAAAACTAGTAAAGAGAATTGTGAAGGGAGACTGGAGAAGCACAAGCGAGACGAAGACCTGGAACCAAACCTCCACATAAAGCAGTAGCTGTCAATCGCAGAAGGACTAATTTTCAGAGAACAGCGTATAGTGCTACTAGCAACCCTACAGAAGAAAGTAGTCATGCTACGACACAACTTTGGACACTTGGGCAAGACCAAGACCAAACAGCTATTGATAGAGAAATACTGGCTCCCTTTTTTGATCAGTATGATTAAAGCAGCCATCAACCAGTGTTACGAATGTCAAAAAACTACAAAGGAGAAGAGAGAAGAACCCATTAAGGTGACAAACATCCCCTACCACCTGTGGGATACAGTATCCATCGACCATGGTGGACCATACCCAGATGGCCACTACAACCTTGTACTTATTGACAAGAGAACCAGATACCCAGTAGTAGAGGCAGTACCCTCAACCAATCTCAAAGTCAACAAGGAGAGACTGAAGTAAATATTTGCAACCTATGGAACTCCAAACAGGATAGAGAGCGACAACGGACCACCATTTGATTCGAAAGATTTCCAAGAGTTTGCTCTTCAAGAAGGATTTGAACACCACAAGATTAAACCACTCCACCCAAGAGCAAATGGGGAAGTTGAGCGATTCATGCAAATGCTAAACAAGACTGAACAGATTGCAAACCTGCAAGGAAAAGAAAACCTATAGAGACAGACTGCAATACAGGATACGCTGCTGTATACAGATCAACCCCACATCCACCCACGGGAATCACCTCTTCTGAAGTAATGAGAGGAACAACCATAAGGACCAAGTTGGATTATATTCAGCCAAAAGTGCAGAGATCTAAGAAAATCAACATCATAGATGAGAGAGATGCAGTGCACACAGCCACTTCAAACTTGTAAACACGGTTATCAACTCCGCAGATGACCGATGGATCACTGACGCAGGAGATCAGAATGAAACATAACAGCTGACCCAGGCTGGACAAGGTTACTTCATTTCCAAGATATGTTGAGAAACCATCAATCCCAGCAATGGAAGAGGGGAACAAGAGGAAAGAACAATCAGAGGAGCAGAACCAAGAGCAAACGGAGACAGGAAGTGACCAGATACAATCAAGCAAAAACCAGACCGAAGCGGACCCAGAATCATGCAGACCCTAGTGAACTAGTGAAACTCTTAAAAGACTATGTGCTAACCTAACAAGAGACATTGCCTTAAAGCATAGAAACATTATTTTTGTTTGTTGTTATTTCAGACTATGCTTGAGTAACGCACTTTGTAATGTTGGAGAGGGATGTGGTATCCTGTGTAACTTCGTATGCATTCTGTACCTATATCACATGATGTTTACCATTAAAAACAGTTCCAATTATCATGGCAGTGTGTGCATAGTGGATATTACAAATTTATTACCCAAGAAAGTACAAAGTATTTATTCTAACTCAGACCTGTGTATAATGTTGAGTTAACTGTATCTACAAATTGTGACCCTCTTTTCTCCCACATGATGCCCTTTTAGGTTCTCTATGGGACCTGTGGACCCCATTGTAGAAAATCATGTTACGAACACTGGTGTACCAGTATTTTTTAGGTAACTTTTACTTTACAATATTAAGAGTGTACTTTACCGAAAGAAAAGCAGGCTCTCCCATGCCAACACATGTACAAGGTCCGATGTTCAGCAAACTGTCACACACCTAGTGGAATGGATTGGGCGCAACATGCTTAGAGTTTGTGAACAATATATGTTTTAAAATTACCATTTAAATGCTGTAATCATTGTAATCAGCTTTTTCTATTTGCCACAGCTAATATCAATGGAAACATGGTTTAGTCTCCAACACATCAAATCAGGGGTGTGTCTGCATTGAATACTCTTTCCAAACAAATTTTCCACCACAAAAAGAATTTATCAAGTGAGAGCTCTCAGAAGTTTAACAGATGGTTACCAAGTTTATTGTAAAACCTCTATTATCAGAAATTCAGTGACTGAAATTACAAGACCACTGACGACATAACTGTTACATTGATAGGAGTATTTTCTCTAACTCATGTAGAAATAAGATTTTCACTTTCCGCAAAAAGAAATGGCTCAATATTTCACTTAAGGTGGCTCCCTAGAGTATTTACTAATAACCTTAGCTATCTAGTATACGATACAGAAGGAAATCTAGGTACTTTGTCTTCGCGATTTGGTTCAGAAATTCACCACTAAGTTTACCCATGTAAAAAGGCTCCTTTCTCAAGTTTCATTTTCTGGATTAAGGCCATTGCCATGGCAACATCGCATCCTTAAACAGGCAGTAATTTTGTCATTTTTGATCATTTTTTCGTAATATTTCTTATTTCCCTCAGTAAAATGTCTTTAAACTTTGCCACTTTATGTTAACGATATTGCTTAACATTTAGAAGTGGAAAAAACATTGGTTCGTTAAGACAGTTTCGCCAATATTTTGAAATTTGTAACTTTTCTTAATAGAGGAGTTTAGCTCTTACAGATTTTAACAAGAAAAGGACAGTACAAAGGTACTGCAACTGTTACGAAATGAGGCGATCTTTAAAAAAATTTACCGGAGAAAACGCGAGAAATTCACGGTTAATCAACTGCGCTGATGTCACAAAAATCCGAAAAACACGCCTGGTTCGAGGTCGTTTAAGCAAAATACGCACGCGAGCCATCACGCTCGCATGCACATAACACACATAGCTGAAAACGTGTGATTTCTTCGAAAAGTACGAAAGCCATTGTTAAAGCTGTTTATCAGTATTATTACGGTGATATCTCGGCTGTTGAGAAAGGAGAGATAGCGGATTCAATTTTATACCAAACACTGGATGTTTTCTTCGAAATACTTAACCATTGTAGCCAAAATTCGAGCCATGGTGGTCACTACTCGTGCGAATGGCGATCATCGGAGATGAAGACGGTGGTTTTGCAAGGATCGTCATCAGGCCTTCATTTCCTAATCTGCTGTACCGACTGTTTGCAGATCTTCAAATACCAGCCCACTTGCGGATACTTTTTCAGCCTTGTCCCCTTTAGGGATAATTTCGACAGTGAAGTTTTTCTTTAAAAGCCTGCTGTAAAAGATGGTGCCAATCTAAAAAAAGTACATCACGTCCTCAGCTGCACGTACAAGACCGTAGTTCTCGACGGATAACCTACTATTGCTTTCGTCAAGGGTCAATCTGTGACTCAAAAATTATTTTTTGTTGTGCAACAACATTTTCTAGTGCACCTTGTGCGTTAAAGGACTTTTGAAAAGGAAAAAGTACAAGGATGTAAGTTCGTCGATGGGAAGGTTCCTTCAATCAAGATTCAAGTTAAGTGGGAAACCTTTCTTCTGAAAAGTTTTTAAACAATGTGATAGAATCGGCAAAACAAAAAAAAATTACACTTGCTGTAATCTTGCCTTAAAGCCATTTCTAGAATTTCTTAATCAAATCAAATGTAAGAGAAATTAAGTGACCGAGGGGCGCCGCCGGTGAAGACAATCTTCAGTGGTTGTTCGGGACTTGGCTCGATCTTTTAGATCTTTCCACTGACTGTGAACCAAGGGCCAGAAACGGTAACATTGCTTCCTTAAGGGTTAGTGAACTTATTTCTTTCTTGTTTTCTTTGTAAAGTTTCCATTCACCATTCACTTCGACTATTTTACGTTTGTCTACTTTTGAAGCGAAAGAATTAATGTCGTTGGAAAATTTCTGCTTCGATTCTACACACACTACTATGGAGACCGATAGTGACTTGTAACCAGTGTAATTCAACATTGTCTCCTCTCATAAATGTTTGACCTACACTAACCAAACGTTTTGCACAATGAGCTTCAACAGATAGTTAACAAAGTTTTTGGAGTGAAAACTTTGAAACATAGAGGCCATGTTTGTTTTATTTTTGTGTGGACATCGTGCGGATTTTAAAGCTCGCGCCATACTAGTGCTGAGGCTGCGCACGGTCAATTTACTCTAGGGAGCCACCTTAAAAATGTGCCTACTTAGATAGATATTTTTATAAAGAATATTGTTAATACATATACTTTAAAAAGGTATGTGAGGATTTCACTCCATCAACACCCTACCCCAGGGTTTTCAGTAAGAATTACAGTAGCAGGAGAAAATTGTAACATTACAGGAGAATATTTTGAAAGAGGCTCCATGTCTGCACAAAATATAGTCAGGCTATCAAACTTTAACCCGAGAATTCTGCATAATAAACGGAGAGTTCTCTGATCTCCATTGCTTGTGAGCAAGCTCTCCCGGGGCGCTCTGACGGCAGGGCGAAAAGGGAAGGAGAGCTTGCAGTCACATCTCCGTAATTTGAATTCTGCCTCGAGTACCCCTGTGGCTCCCCGTCGACAGGGCTGTCAGTTTTGGCCAATCAGCACGGAGTGGAAATGAGCATCAAATGTATGTAAACAAACAAAGAAACAAATGAAGCCCTGAAAGTACGGCCACAAGGAAAAGATGAAACACCAGAAAGTTGTCGAGTTCTCAGTTTTGTAGGCAGTTTGTAAAGGGTGCCAGATCAAAAGACCAACGTTCAAAAGATGGTAAACCAGCCCTAGTACCTGCTTCAGCCCTCGGCATTGAGACAGCAACATTATTTGCAAACTGTGTGGCGTACCTTGAACTCACAGTATTTTTACTCCAAAAGTGATTTGAAACAAAGATGCCCAGAACAACTAAATAAATTGCATCTCTCTCCTGATATTAACAAATTGACAGGAATACACCCAACTGAATTTATCTATCGGATAAAGATAAGACGCCAAAATAATACATATTTTTCCTATGCTACAATATAAACTCTACTGTGTGTCCTTTTCTGTTCACTGCAAAGAAGCTAAAATTACTGGCAAATAACCCAGCTATAGTGTAATGTTAAAAGAGTTACATCTCTGACAGAGATCTTCTCATTAGAGCAATATGTAAAAGGTTTTCAAAGGTTTCATGCCAGTGAAGGTGTCTGCCCTGTTAGCCTGCAAGCAAGCTCTCTCAGGAGGAATATTACTTGATTGCCTGATTAAAAATGAGCCAATCAGCATTTCACATCCCATTTTGGGACACAGATATTCAAATTTATGAGACGCAATACAAACTCTCCTTCCCTTCTTCCTCCCCCATCCACACAGCCCCGGGACCCCCAGGAGAGCTTGCTTGCAGGCTATGATTTCCAATGCCTAATGAACACCCTGTACCTGACAAATCACTTTGCACACAGAGGAAAAACAATCAATGCATGATCATTTGAGAGTTTAAAGGAAAAGACGCTTTCTTTGTGAGTAAATGGTTGAGGCAGAAAGGGCTAGGAAAACTCCCCGATATATTTGAAAGCTAACATAAACTTTGTGTTTTGAGTAATCAAAGAATAATATTAATATGTTCATGGAACAATTCTATCATGATGAGAAAATACTGTCTCATGTTAAGCTTGTTGGTTGTTTGTTTATTATTCACTATTCTAAAAACCTGCGAAAATAAGGAAGGTATTATTAAAATTCTAGAGTATGTGACCTTGCTTGCAATATAATTATAACTGATGGCAAGGAATGATTTGCAAAGGGTGCTGCTTCATGCATTTTGATCAGATTTTAACAGATCTAGATTTCCTTTAAACATGCCACTTGCAGCTTATTTACTGGAAAATGTAATTTTGGTGTTGCCCTAGCATGGGGCATTCGCACACTTTTTTAAGACCCACAGTGGGGCATTAGCAGCTTTTCCAACAAAGAATAACAAAATATCTGAGAAATGCCGGGGGGGGGAAGGGCATGCTTGGTATTGACTAAGCCAAAAATCTCAGTAGGGTAAGAGTACTAAAAGCAATCCCTTGAAGAACATACTTCAAAAGTGTAGGAAGTTAACTTGACTCCAGTTTGTTCCTCTTTACCATAAACCTCCAACTCATCAAGATCATCTTTTCAGGGAGAACAACAAACACCAATTTAGATATAGATAATCAGTGCAAGAAGAGTTTATTCTGATGTCTAAATTAGTTTTTATGAAATGAGGACATATTTTGTTTAGGCTTAATAATAACATAACAACCTCCTTAGCCTCAATGTTTTGCTTTCCTAATACAGGTCAAGTGATAACACTCATGAAAATGTTTCTTTCAAATTTCATCTCATTCACATACATCCCATACTATAGAAGCTGTAAACAGGGAAAAAATGCCAGTCCAGACATCTCCTAAAGAACTGAATTTACCACTCACCATGATCCCTTCTAACTACTGTTTTGGAGTGCAATATACTGATGTACTAACCTAGAGCATAAGTATAGTCTGTATCAAGTCTTCTTCTCTTGGCTTGAGGTGGATCCATCTATATCAAAGTGACAAAGTAATTTTTGTTGTTAAAGGACTTGAAGGGTTACTAACAATTCAATCAATCCTTAACCTTCATTGTGAGGCCTAGAGGACATCAACAAAAGAAATGAGTAAATATGTTCATGACTTTTCCTTATTGTTGTCCTGTTTTCTAGCAAGTAAAAGAGCCTCTTTTTTTCCTCCTATTTCAAAGACAAAAACAAAAAAAGGAGATTATACAACAGTGGCAATGAAATTCAAAATTCCCAATGGCTGTGATCACACTACATTTTTCATTTTTTGGTTCAGTTAATCAGTTTTTAAATGATTGTGTTTTCCTAGGATTAATTTTGATAGAATTGATAACTCAGACAAGTTTGATACTGATCAAATGTAGTACAGTGTACATGTGGTTTGTGGCTTCTTTTAAGATGTGCTTGTTAACCAAGACAGTCCCAAAGAATAACTTGCAAGACATGATGCTAAATATTCATCTGTTTATAAATACCCGTACGAAATCTTATGGCCTGACTGAGCCAAAATAGGGCCTTAATAAGGCCTTAAATGGAAACATAGAGCAAAAGATCAACCAAAGCTGAACCTAACAGCCTGAGCCAAAAAAAATTTGTTTCCCTTTTTGTTTCTAATTCCAACACCATGAACAAAAAGCGACCAAATTCAGGCAAAATATTTTAGGCTGTAAATTTGGTCGACAGTTAAACCCCAAATGTAAACCAAAATCGCTTTGGGCTGTTATTTAGGCTCTCATTTTGAACGCTCTACGACCTTAAAGCAGGCAAAATTTTTTTAGTCGTAGATTAGGTCGCTTTAGAAGCCGACTGAGGCTGTAATTTTGGTGTTGAACAGTTCGGTCGAACCAGCGAATTACAGTGAAGTCGATGTGGAGACACCAGAAAACAAAGCTCTGCACAACTTACGTGTAAGGGGACATTAAATATTAGCAAAACTTTAATTAAATAGACCTAACGCAAGAGATTTTTGCACACAAAAACGAGAAATATCAGATTAGTTTTTTAACTCAACTGAAGTAAACATTTACAGATACAATACGTACCTACAAAGTTGATTGCCTCACCTTGCAAGTAAGACTAATCTCTTTCCATTTTATTCGCAATTAAATTTGCAAACATAATTGACGCACCTGACGATAGATAAATCCACGCCGTGCATGCACGAAACCAAATGTTTTGCCCCTGAACACTTCCGACCAGTTAAAGCTGGATTTAAATAGCTATATATGATGTATATGAATCGTGGTGGTACCATATTAAAAAGCCTCTACAATTACTACAGTAAAAAGGGCTTTTCTATGGAAAAATTTTCGTGACATTGCCTTTACGTTACCGTAGTAAACCTGACAGGTCCACTTGAAACTTTCCATGCGTTGTTTTTGCGTGATCGCGTTTCTTGATTTCTCAAAAACCCTGTCTCGATATGTTCACGTGGCCTTAGAGACACATGATGATTGGTTAGTTTATTTTGGCGGGCATTTGAGTTTTTCGTTAGTTGCATCGTAAGAGAAAAACGTTTGTGTAACACAAAGAGTGAGAGATCATTTCTTCTCCTGTAAACGTTTTCCCGATCTAAGTTACATTGAAACTTAACATTTGTAAGTTTGAAAATTAGTTTTCATTACTGCATCTATTTTGATTCGGACAAAAGTCTCGGCACTGTAACCAAAAAGTCCCAAAAGTCGCTGTGCCTTGCAAGGACCGTTTGAAGCGAGGCAAGAAGCTGAAGTGAAAATGTGAAGGACAAAGGTTTGTCAGTATAATTTTTAAAACTGCCGATAAAGGTAAGCTTGTGTGTTTTAAGTTGGATTTAAGGTTAGTGTTTTTTCTTCATAGATCGTGCATCATGTTAAACGTTCGTAGCCCTTTCTTTTGGCGGTCAGTAAACAGGTCATGGCTGTTTGAAAACGCAGAAGTCTTCTTGGAAACATGTTTATCTCTATGATATAGGGCTTAAAACCTGCCTAACAAACCAGTTAAAGATTGTTCTGGAACAATTTCCTAAAGCACACGGCTGTATTTGCTGGTTGTGGGTAACATAGGAAGAACCAAATTACAGAAATCCTGAGAGGAATAGCTCCGTATAAAAAAGTGTCAAAAAAGTTATCGAGCTTGTGAGAGTGAAAGGTATTGATGCGTGGAATCGTGGAATATGTGATCGTCCCAGTGCTAGCGCTGGTGCTCATCTATGTGAAGGAATAATATTCAGACAATCACTTTGTAATTTTTGAAGAAATGCACGAACAATCTGTAACAAGTGGACTTTGTACGTGATGTGAATTCGTGATTTATACATTCAAAACGACGCGTGACCCGGTTTCGTTCTCTGATGTAATATTTTTCGGTGTGCGACAAACGCAGACTGCAGACTTGCAGACCGCAGACCTGCAGACTTGCAGACCTGCAGACTTGCAGACTTGCAGACTTGCAGACACGTTCGGAACTCACGGGGAGGGGGAGGGATAATTGCCCCCGCAGGTTCAATCCCGAGGAGGCACTCTAGTATTAAACTCGCGCGTATATTAAGGAAAGTACTTACAGTTGTAATATACAGTCAGTATGGCAGAAAAAAAATCTCGATTTGCTTGAACAGGGGCCGCGAGGAATCGGTAGGTAATGATGACGTGATGAAGACAGAAAATTTCGAAGGGACCGGTTAGGTAGATTTTGTGACATTTATTGTGCAGTCATACTTTGATACTCTTTTGCGTTACGTGTTATCAGTGACATTCTGTGGAGCAGTTGGTTCAGTGAAACTTATGGACCAAAAGACACTCGTTAAGCGCAGATGAAGTTATAAGGTGCGTACAACCGTGTATATAGAAACACTTGGAGATTTTACCAGACACGAGTTCACAAATCTTTGATTGGAAACCTTGCCAGACACTCTTTCTCTCTCTTTGACTGGAACAAGACTCAGCCCGAAACAAGCAAGACGAGTGAACAACGGCTAGCTTATCACTAGCAGAACGATGGACGATTACAGAAATTCGCCGACAATCAAATTCTGTGCTGGCTTATTTCCTGCTCACAGATGTCCTTCCGTTTTAAAGCCGCTCGATGATCCCACCCGTCTTCTTCTTCGCTGCTGTCGCTGAAGTTTAGGTCACCGTTCTTCCGATGTTAAGTCTTCCACGGCAAGGATTTCCAGTCACCTGTCGAATCGGGCACTGTTGTGTTTGCAGCCCGCTAGCGCTGTTGTTTGCCTCAGACATACTTTGCGATTCGCCAACAGTAAACAGAGGATGAATAAAATTAGCCCAAAGCCCTGTCACAAAAAATGTGGGTCTGCAAATCTTCGAGTCTGCAAGTCTGCTAGTCTGCAAGTCTGCTGGTCTGCAGGTCTGCAAGTCTGCAGTCTGCGTTTGTCGCACACCGAATATTTTTTTGTAGAAAAATTCTGGTAGCAATGTATTTAAATTTGCTAAACTGCATTAAAAATCCAGTTGATGTTTCATTTGTGGCGATTTTCATATAAACGTTTGTCAATTATTTAATACTAACTTTAGCTTGCTTATCTATTTATCTACCTTGAAAATGTACATTTGGCACGCAATCTCGAGTTTGCGGTGTCGAGTTACTCTTGAGCGAAATCTTGACCAAAAAATGGTTGGATCTCAGCCTCAATTACAGCGTAATTTTGGCCCAAATGTGGCCTAATTTAGCTCGAACCGGATTACAGAAATATGCAGCGTGCAGACAGCGGTCATTATCGTATTACCGTTCAGCCAAAATGACAGCATAATTTGGGCCCAATTTTGGCCCAGTTTTTGCATCACAAAAGTGTAGTTAGGATTTGGGTTCTATTTTGGTTTACTTTGTGGCTCAAATATTTACGTTTCAGTGAGGCTCGTTTTGGTTCATCTTTGGTTGAACTTTTTAAGGCCCTATTTTGGTTTATTTCGGCCCGGGTTTGGCTGAAAATTATGGCCCAATTTACCTTCTGGCTAGAGCGTTAATTTTGGTACGGGTAACAATAAGTCTACCATTATGGTCCTTTAAATGGCAATACTCCATTTCCACACAAAACTATCACATCATAGCAGTTATAGTACTATTAAATCATATTTAATGTAGTTCACGACTAGGAGCTATGGTCTCGAATGTTTTTGGCATTCGTTGGTGACGTGTTGGCCGTCTGTAATGTTGTTGCACGACCATGTTTGCGTTTGTAGCATTTACCATTGTTCATGAGCATGAGGGGCAGATTCCTGTCCAGCGGTATGTCGCATTGGTGCATGCGGAGGCCATATGCCCACATTGTGTTTGAGTTGGCGTGGCGTTCTAGTAGCATAGAGTTTCTCTTAGTTCTGCCCTAATTTTGGTTGGCTTGGTTTTCAATTTGAGTAGCGTAGCGTTTTCTCTTGGTTCTGTCAAAGTTTTTTCTGGTCGAAGTGGTTTTCAATACCATTGTTCCTGGTAGTTCCTGTTGTGGTTCGTCCTCTGCTGGAGAGTTTCTGGTTGTCCTTTGTAATGCCGTGTCCATCTCGCTCGACCAACAACAGCTTCTCGGTGAGCCGAAACTCCATTCCTGCCATTATTTCATCGATCCAGGGCAACGCGTCCTCGCATGCTTCTTCTTCGGTTCTAGGCATTTCTGCTAGCAGGGCTCCACATCCTTTAATTTCTTCAGCGTCCGCTTTGAGTGCGAGTACAAGTGACGGTGTTTCTTCGGTGGCTTCAGTTATGTTTACCCTTCCCGTGTTTGTTCCTACGTTTACGCCACTGTCGGCCATTACCATCTTGAGCTCAGCCCGCCCTGTGGCTCCTACTCTCTCCACTTTGTATCACCCCGAGTAACTAGTGGTCTTCCAAGCCTTCGTAGGCATCACCCAAGTCTGGGAAGGCTTTTATCGTTGGTCCGGGGCATGCCCCTATTCCTTCAAAACTGGTGTCAAAAGTTGTAGGTGGCCAGTTTGTCGAATTTGAAGATTTGTTGTCCGTGAACCTCTGCGAGGTGGAGCAGGAGCCACAAACGTTCCTCAATGGTAAGCTTGTGGTTTCCTCGTCAAAACGCAGGCGAGTGGAAATAAAAGACATTTTGACTTGGACGGAAGCCTTTACTGTTTTTCAGATGGTGCTGTGCACAGCTCACCCTCATCGTTGGCCCAATCTGTCCAAGTATAAGCTGCTTATCATTCAAACGGCTCGTCATTTCTCTGGTTCAGCAACTTTCACTTAAGGTCTCCAGCCATGGCTTCACCCCTGTCAGTGCCACTGGCCCTGATGCAAATATCGACACCACTGCAGTAACTGTGAAGGTGAACACACCCAGATCAATTGTCCATTTCCCAACTCTTCTGGTGCACAATCCTGATCTCCCCAACCTGGGGGTGGGAGAAGGGGACGGTACTGAATGGGCGGTTATGCCCGGCGAGGCTTGTGTACATAGTGTAAATAGTTTTGTTGCGTCGCCAGGGGGGCAGCGTGATCTGTTTTCCTTGGTCAAGTCGT